ATGCAAATACTGCCATGCTACCTATCCCAAAATGGAAAAAAGAAAGGCAGAAAACAGGAGCTTTCTGGACAGGTGGGAGAATATGATGAAAATCTGATAAATGATAAAATGATAAAATTTAATTCAGAAGGCATGTGTGCAATATTAAGTTATATATACGTTTATATAAGTTATATATATTGTTTAGTATTAAGTTTTGCTTGTTCCATATTCAGTTTTTCAGCAAAACTTGTTTGAGTCCATAAGAAAAGATTCCTAGTTATATTTGGAGGAAGATTTTTTTTCCAATGAATATTAACGTTAGCCCGCAACTTTGATCCAGTTTTGAATTTTGGCCCACTGTGTATTTGAGTTTGACACCCCTGATCTAGACGTAGCGTTTTCAGTGGGAGAAACATTTCATCACTCTTCCAAGTGACTTCTTCAGTCTCAGCTGACTGCAGGTTTTCCCCAATCTTATAAACAGTACATTTGCATAATGACTGAAACCAGCCCACTGAAGGAACAATGGGCTGCGAGGTCAGTTCCTTGATCATTAATATGCAAATTCTTATGACCATTGAGCAAAGCTCATTGATCAAAGACCACTGATCAATGGCCATGAGTACCATTCACAAAGAGCTTGGGAATTGCTGCAATCATAGCACTCTGAGATGGCAAAAGATGTACCCTTAGGCCCCCTCCTCAATTCAGAGATGGTTGATAGGTTTGTAGCTTAAATCTTTTCGCTGGAACGTTCAACACAATTCAGTTACACAGCACAAAGCATCAGACACCAAGCAGAGCTCTTTATGATTCTCGTATACGAGGGAGACCAACTGGACAAATGCCGTTCCTTCGCTTGACACCAGTTGCTCTCGTCTGCTCCCTCGCAACAATGCTCTTTTATTGAGGTTACATGAATATATATAGGTTTATTAACATATGATGTATACTTACAAACAAAGAGTACCTTGCCTTGCACACATTAAGGATTGTCCATTGACATAAAACTGTTGTCGGAACCATACTGAATTTCACCAGAGAAACACACACATATGAAGAGAGAGAGAGAGTATGCATAGTATGCAAACGGCTACCAAACAGCCATCATAATTCGTCATACAATGAGAACAGTGTAGCTGTATTTCATTCACCACAAATAACTATCTGATTGAATAGTTTTCTTATCAGAATAAAATGAATCACAAAATGTAAAAGCTAAATTTCTCTGCCTGGGCTGACTTGTGCCTCTGCCTGTTTCAATGTGTGACCCCGCCCCTCCCCCTAACAGTCAGCGATGAGTGCGCTAACATACCTGTAGGTTGCTGTTTTAATGAGTGTTTGATGGAAAATGACAATGGTGGAGTTTGCACTATCCGGTCACATGATAGGTGAGTCCTAGTAAATAATTTTCCAATACGTGTACGTTACACATGCTATTTTTTTAAAATTATGATTATTATTTTGCTAGCTATCAAACTCACTGGAGAAATGATTGAAATGCACTGAGTGTGATGCAGTTAGTTATGGCATGGAGATTTGTGGAATATGCTGTGAACTTAGCTAATATTACATAGCAGTAGCAGTAATATGAGTTACTTTATTCAAGTGAAAGCTTTAAACATTAGCCCATTACTGTCAGGGTTATATTTTTGGATTGTCATTTATGCTTAGAAATATATAATCATTTGTAGATTGATAGACTGTCTCATCCTAGGAGGTCTGCAACAACCCTGTGTACCGTGAAAAGAGGAGTACGTTCACTCCTCTCCTCACACACCTCCTAGGGTCATGAGAGAGGTTGTATCTTCTCTTTCTAATATATGGTATGGCAAACACATCTATATCTGTTTGAGTAAAAGAGCATTTTGTTTAGGTGGAAAGCTGGACTCATGGCACCAGCTTTGGGAGTCGTTCACAGGGTCATATCTTGACACACACACACACACACACACGGTACTCTGTCTTCACATGTATGCCTATTTGAGAGGTGTCCACAAGACCTAACCTGTCAGTCGTACCAAGGCTGGGCTCACTGGTCAAGGGGTATTGCAACATCACACTTGATGTGACGAAGGATAATAATGTTTTCACTGCACAAGATTTTTTTCCACCACAACACCGCGAGGGTAGAGACTTGGTGCTTGTGTGGTTAGAATAAGATTCAAAGCCAGCTCTCAAAATTATGGAATGAAGAGTGTTCACTGGTCCAGTTGGTAATGCCTTTTATCTATCCGATTGGAGCAGACTCCCTGGCCAAACACACGTCATATACAAGTCATAAAAAGGACAGAAGGAGTGGTGATTTGACTGGATCATTTGATCAGAACGTGTTTATGGAGGGGATTGGGATTTGAGTTTTGAATCCATGTTTTGGTGGGTTACTATTAACCCTTTAAAAGTGGTTGGAATGGGCACGCTCCGTTTTGCGTAACTATTTTTAAATCCCTGTAGAACTGCAACCACGTAAGCTAGCACAATAATCTTTTTTGCATATGCAACCGGAGGAGTTGTACTTACATATTATGCCTACGTCATGGTTTCCTTCCACATATAGCTTTGCAAAAATTGCATAAAAAGCATTTGCAGCAACAAAAACATAATATTTCAGAAACACGCTTTGCCGATCTGATCAGCTGTTCATAACACTTCCTACGTTGAAATAGACGTCAGCGTGAACTATCGCATATCTGCCAAATTGTTTGGTGCCCTGGCAGTACCACATTTTAAGTTTTATTCTGGTCATTCCAAATCAGGGCGCTTAGTACGTGGGTCGACCCAGAGGCTACTATTGCATGGAAAATTATTGCATACGCCGAGGCAGCACCACAAAGACTACAAGATCTCTTGTTTTCCAATATACCCACCAAAATGCTCAGCAATAACAATAAATTTAGATCTGTTATTGCCAACTCTATATAGGTATGGAGGAAAATTGAACCACAGTTAGGTGGTCCAGTGAAATTTTGTAGAAGTTCATCACTTTGGCATAATTTGAAGTTGGATGGAATGGAATGGATCTTGCCTAACTCCGGCAGACCCTCTGTTTCCATAATCTACAACAAAATAGGTGAACATGGTGTAAAGCCCCTGCCCATTGAATCTGTTTGGTTTAGGGAACTGGGAGAACTGCAGGTTAATATAGACTGGGATACAGTGTGGTCTAATCTAAATTTGACTTCTAGGAACCAGGCGCATCAACTAATTCATTTCAAAACCATACACAGAACATACATTACACCCTATAAGACATTCCAGATGAAACTACAGTCTACATATGACTGTCACATATGCAATAATTTGTCACCAGGCACGTTCTTACACATGTTTTGGGACTGTCCAGTTATATCCAACTTTTGGATCGTTGTGAGCTCTGTGTTATCTGAGGTACTGGAAGTTTTGTATATCACCAATCCTGGTCTTTGCCTCCTTAATGATACCTCTGACATCTCTTTAAAACAAATACAATGCAAAATGTTGTTTGACAGATTCACATCTGCCAAGAAGATAACTACAAAGCAATGGTTCAGTCCTGACATTTTTATGGAATCATTCTGGATACGATGTCTTATCCATATCATTAATCTTGAACATACCACAGCAAAATTAAATAAAGCGCGACCCATGACTTTCGAAGCTTGGGAAATCTTGTTCTCCAATGGATTAATGCATATGCATGTTAGATAGAAAGCGCTTAGAAAGAACATAGAAAAAAGGTTCTTGTGTGAATGGGTGAATAAGGCAAGTTGTGTATAGTGGTGTGAGTGCTCAGATTAGAAAAGCAGTATATCAGAAACAGTCAATTTACCATTTACCATGGTTGTGAATGACTGAGCTAGGATCCTGTGGGGCTTTCAAATACAGATTGGCATAGCAGTAGTGGACAAGCAGAGGAAGAGGGCCGCAGTGATGGGATGCAGCGATACCCAATGACAGCAACATTGGGAAAAAGGAACACAAGAAGCTAGAGAAGTACCAAGGGCTAAGAGAAGAGTTTAAGAAGATGTGGAAGGTGAAGTTAACAGTGGTCCCAGTGGTAATTGGAGCACTAGGAGCAATGACCCCAAGATGGGTGAGTGGCTCCAACAGATCCAAAGAATAACACCCGAGATCTCTGTCTAGAAGGGTGCAGTACTAGTAACACAGGGCCCTTAAGCTCCCAGGCTTCTGGTAGAAGACCTGAGCTTGAAGGATAATGACTGCCTGCAGATCAAATAAGGAATCTCTACCTATTTATTTGATATAGGGGTAGGACTTCCTTATAAATTTTTATGTTGCATTTCATTACTCCTAGAAAGGCATGTTATACTTTATGCCTTTTGCAAAGTTGTGCAGTGAAATTTTCCCTGATCGTCTGTATGTTTTAATAAAAATGTGTGCTACAGTAAGATGCTAAAAATATGTTCAATTTTATGTTGAAGAATTTTACATCTAAATTAATATAATTTGACATGTAGGGTTTTTTTTTTAACAAATTGGTACATCTCTGCTCATATTTACTTCTGAGAAACTGTACTGTAAACAGGAAACCACTGAACACTTGAAGAAGCAGCTTGACAGGAAGAAGGGGTGGGGGGTGGGGTATCATCGGATGTGAACTCAGCAAAGACTTTGTTAATAACACCAATCAGCATGATGGATGGAACATCTCTGCTGTGGCTTTTCTGTAAGTTGAGTCTCTCTTTATGTCTGGGCTAAGATTTGAATACAGCTGTTTACACAACAGTAGACTGTTATACAACTACATTAGGGAATTAAGATAAATTCAGATTAATGGGCATATTCAGGGGCACTTATATTTTCTTTCTTTGATGGGCAGAGTAATTGATAATGTGACAATTGGCAGGAAAGAAAGGAAAAATGCTAAAACAAAAAATATTATAATGTGTACATTTTATATAACTATAAAGACAAAAAAAGGAATGCATTTTAAACGGTTTTACCTGTGCTTAAAACCACACATAGGTTGTACAGGGCCAGAACAAAACACTGCTAAGTATTGATTACACACTTCAATGGAAAACAAACAATATTTAGTCATCTGTCTTACAGTCATCTCTTAGCTTAGAAAGTTTGTAAAAAATAAACTGCTTATATGTATATCTTTTAAATCACAAAGGAGACAGTGTACTTTTTTTTAAACATTGCACAGCATACTTCCTGTCTGCTGTATACGTACCAGTGCTGTCAAAAATTAAAGCGTTAACGCAGATTAAGCCGCAATCATGATGAACGCGATAAAAAAGAAATTCACGCTATTAATGCATCTGGAGTGCAGAATGACTAAATATCCCTGAAATGTTTCTGTCAACTACTTTCAGTCAGTTTGTCAAAGATGCTCACGGAGCATCGGGGACTCAGTAAGTCTACCTCGGACATATTGAATGACACAACTGCCAAGTGGATTGCAGCAAACTACAGACCCATTAATATCGTCGAGAACACAGGCTTTACGTAGCTATGGTTCCTCGTTTCAGGCACTTGAAGTGTCTCCCCAAGAGTGACAGTGAGAATGGATAAATGTTGACAGAGTTTTTTGTTAACATGAATGTTCAAGATGTTCAATAAACATGATAAGTACGTATTACTACTACTACTACTACTACTACTAATAATAATAATAATAACAATAATAATAATAATAACAATAAAGAATGATAATTAATTGTGATTAATCAAAATAAATCCACAGTAACCCTGTGATGGATCTGATTAAAAATATTCATTGTTTGACAGCACTAATATATATTATCCCTGTTACCTATTAGTATATAGGACTTTTTTTTTAAGTTGTATTTCACAGGGGAGAACCTGTGCTAAAAGATTGAAGAAAACTATTCATATTCTATTTCGATTTAAGCATGCATCCTTTGTGTTCATTCTCCATTTACTTCATTATATTTCATAAATGTCAGTTACAAGCTTAAATATAAAGTTGAAAAAGTGTAATTGCAGGAGGCTCTTGATCAAGTAATTGCAATTAATTGTGATTAATGACAGAAAATTGTGAGATTATTATTTTTTTCATTTACAGCACTAATATGTACATTAGAGCATGGTTTGCTGCTTCCTCTCAGTCTGCAGCACCTAAAGTGCAAACAAACACCAGTCTATGTTTCATAAACCCTGATGTCTAAGAAGCTTGGAAAGAAAAGTGTCTGGACTTCTTTAATTTGCTAGAAGATGTTTCACCTCTTACCCGAGAAGCTTCTTCAGTTCTAGGGTCAAATAGCAGAGTCCCAGATTTAAGCTCTGTGGGAGTAACCCACCGAGAGGGACAATGGACCCCCTAATGATCCTCTACCTAATCACATGAGCCAAGGTGTGAAAATGGGTGTAGGTCACAATCAGTCAAGGCTTTGGGTGAGCTCACTGTGAAACCTAACCCCACCCTATCATGTGATTACCTGAGATCAGATGGCCCAGGATGTGAGTGGGCGTTAGGGCGTCTGGGAAGGGATCTCAAAACTGGATTATAGATGGCAGAGAGTTGGTGTCGTAAACCACTGCCTCTGTTCAAAGATACATGCATGTGCTCCTTCTTTTTCCCTTCAAGCTTAGAGGGACCATGTTCTGCCCGGTGGTGTAGGGTCCTAATTACTCCAAGTTTGTGTTCCAGAGGGTGATGGGAGTCAAAGAGGAGGTACTGGTCCGTGTGTGTGGGCTTCCAGTAAACTTCGATGTTGAGGTTGCCATTCTCTTCAATGTGCACACCGCAGTCCAGGGAAGGCAAACAATTATTCTTTGTGTCTTCCCTGGTGAACTTGATGTTTTTATCCACAGCGTTAACGGGAGCAGTGAAGGACCCAGGTGTCGTCTACATATCTGTACCAGTGGCTGGGTACTCTTCCTTTGAAAGAGCCAAGAGCCTTCCTTTCCACTTCCTCCATGTAAAGGTTGGCTACAATAGGTGACACCGGGGAGCCCATGGCACAGCCATGTTTTTGTCTGTAGAAACCCTTCTTGTATTTGAAATATGTGGTGGTAAGGCAGAGGTGTAACATTGAGCAAATGTGATCGGGGGTGAATTTGGTTATGTCTTCCAAGGAGCTGTCTTCTTGTAGTCATTTTCTGACAGTCTCCACTGCCTCTGTGGTGGGTATGCAAGTGAAGAGGGAGACTACATCAAAGGACACCATGGTTTCATCTGGATCCATATAAGATGAGTTTCTGGAGAACTGGAGAAGTTTTTTGGATGAGAGGTGAAACGTCTTCAAGCAACTTAAAGAAGTCCAGACACTTTTCTTTCCAAGCTCCCTAGACTACAATGACCTGGATGACTGAGAACCTTCACAGACATACACCATGAGGTTTCAAAGCAGAGAAAAATAAACAAAGTAACCTCTCGCTCTCTTTTTTTCAGCTCTGATTTCACTTGTGTGCTGCACAACAACGGAAGGTTAGTACATTTCTTCTATTGCAGTTTCAAGTGATTATTCTATCTAGATTTTTGTCCTTGGATTGAATTAGAGTTCACTCTAGGATGCAACTAAAAAAAATGTTACTTATCATTTTTTCTGTCCTGTATCACAAAGAAAGTTCACCATACCTAGGGTGTCTTTTTTAACTCGCCCTACTATTAAGTCAGGCTAATCGGTGACATTAAGATGGGTATCAATCAATCAAGATTTATCAGCGTTGTTACCAACATGAAATAGGTGATCTCTGCAGTATTTATGTACTTCAAAAATCAGTACGTTGGATAATGACGGAAAACCACTGAATGAACAATGGGCTGTGAAGGTAGTTTGATGATCATTAGTATGCAAATTGTCATGACCATTGATCAGTGATCACATATAAATAGCCATGAGTACCATTCAAAGAGAGTTGGGGAATGGCTGCAATCACAGCATTGTAAGATGGTGAAAGATGCAGATTCACAAAAACGCTACTCCCAGATGAACAGAATGAACTTTTTGGGATTTCCATACTTGGATGATTGAGCATGCATCAAGATATACTTCAAAAATGTCCCAGTGAAGTTGTTAAAGAAGTATTTAATATTATTTAAAAATGACAGGTTGTGAAGGAACTTTATAAACCATTCCATTAGGAAAAGAACAAACATTATGGAAAAAAAACAACATAAAATTCTATTACTGACAATTTTTGCATAAAGCATCCAAATTAAAAATAACTGTTCGGCAGAAAAATGTTCCACTTCAGTGTTCAATGGAAAAATATTACGATGAACGTTGGCAGCTGATTAAACATATTACACACAGATATTCTCATTGATGGTAATCAAAAGGTGCTGCTTAGCCTGTATCTGCCCAACTTGCTTGCTTTATTAGACCAGACATGGTCAGAGTTGCCACCCCCTCTCCATCATCTTTCTTTGTTAATGTACTAAATGATTTATTAAAAACTTTCCATGCTCTCTCTTTTCTACATGACATATTTAACCATGGTGATTAGCAAAAGGAAATTAATCTGTTATGACAATAAATCACTGAAGCTACTTGCTAAAGCTACCTGTGTTTCAATACAAATAACAGATAATAACTGTTCTCATGGCAGTAAAAAGCTAAACCAGCAATAGCATGCCTCGTACACTGGTCAGTTTAATATCAAAAATCAGCCGTTTATCAAAAAATTGCATCCTACAAGAAAAGTTGTAGGTTTTACAGATCAAGTTGCAACAAGAAAGCCATTGCTAATACATCAAATTAAGACACAATGCCATGAAATGCTGCTGCTGCATTACTGAAGACTGCAGGGTTTTATGTACTGATGAGTCAAAATTTACAATCTTCGTTTCATCATGCAAGATTTTTATACAGCATTGAGTAGATAAAATGATGGTTCCTCAGTGGCTGTTTTGCTGAATCCAGGGCCAGTGACTTGTACTTAGTGACTTGTACGTAGTGAGAGGCAACCTGAACCAAAATGGCTACCGCAACATTCTGCATCATCATTTAGTAGACTCTGAAATCGGTCTAATTTGTCAGGGGTTCATCCTAGATCAAGATAATTACCCAAAACATAAGTCCAATCTATGCCAGAACTGCCTCAGGAAAAAAGAACAAGATGGTGAACTTGAAAACATGGAGTGGCCAGTACAGTCGCCAGACTTAAACTCCATTGAGCTGCTTTGGGATGAACTGGATGGAAGAGTGAAAGAAAAGCAACCTGCAAGTGCTACACATTTATGGGAACTTGCAACAGATATGGGAAGCAATTTCTGAAGAATATTTGATTTCTGTTGTAGAAAGAATGCTAAGGGTGTGTTCAGTTGTTATATCTGCCAGCGTTTGCCACATTGATGAGTCCAAGGTTTAGAATACATTTTGGTCTATAAATTGATTCCATGATTTGAAATAATTTAAATAATTTAAAACATGCACAATAGGATGCATGTTAAATGGGTGTTCAAAATATTATGGAAACTTTTCAAATATTGATTACTGAGGGTATTTTTGTCTTGTTTAAAAATGATTCATATCATTCCCTCTCTCACAGCTCATTTGACTGTGAGTCCCAGCAGCTCTCAGTTCTTTAAAGATGACCCTGTGTCTCTGAGCTGTGAGGAGGACGACAGCTCTGCTGGATGGACTCTGAGGAGAAACACAAGCAAAGAAACCATGACTCAGTGTGGAGCTGAGTGGGGTAAATCTACTGGGAATTCCTGCAGTATCAGCTATATCTTAACACAGGACAGTGGAGTTTACTGGTGTGAGTCCAGAGAGGGTCCCATCAGTAACATGGTTAACCTGACAGTCACTGGTAAGCTGAGTGTGTTGGAGTTAGTGTTGATGAAGCTGTGTGTAAATGGATGAAATGCTGTAGTTTGTCTCTGTGTTGAGGTGGATCAGTGATCCTGCAGAGTCCTGTCCTCCCTGTGATGGAGGGAGATGACGTCACTCTGCTCTGTAAAACAGAGACCACTCCCTCCAACCTCCCAGCTGCTTTCTTTAAAGATGGCGTCTTCATTGGGAATAGGCCTACAGGTCACATGACCATCCAGCATGTTTCCAGGTCTGATGAAGGCCTCTACAAGTGTGACATCAGCAGTCATGGCAAGTCTCCAACCAGCTGGATCACTGTTACAGGTGAGGAGCTTCACTCTAATAACACCTTTTATTTGTTCAATATAGTCATTATAGTCAATATAGATTCTTTCTGCAGGTAGGCCTACATTCACAACAAGACCTACAACCACATCCCACCTGATTTCTGGAGCTCTATCCCCTGACTTAACATTAATGTGCCACCTGGTGGTGTTTAGTTCATACTTCATCTCCACCCTTCTCTCATTGTGATTTTATAGTGAGGCAGAGCCACTATAGGTAATATTCATTAATCCATCTATTAGTAATCAGTGACTCAATGATGACAGCTGATGATGTCTTGAACCAATCTCATGATCTACCTTTCCTTCCTGACTTGCTCTTACTCCAATATATAACTTACCCATCTTCAAGGAGTTAACGCTACCCACAAAGGCTGAGCAAAAACAGGATGAGGAAGCTGATAATGTCACCAAGGAGGTTCACTTTAACAAATCTAAACTGGACAGTGTGTTTTCTCTCAACTGTTTCTATTTTGCTTTTGTTTAAATGTTTGCTTTTTGCAAGTTCATAAACCTTTGTCTGTAGATTTATTTGTAGATTTATTTATTTGCTGATTTATTGGGAAGTTCTTTTTGCCTTCTCATTTCTGTATGAAGCAGTAGACTCAACTCCAGAGTAAAAAATATTACACCTAAATAATGCTTTAAGGAGACAATTAAGAAAAGGTATGTTAAGTCAAAATACATACAATTATGCTGTTTAATGTGTATAGATGGGTAGTACCGCTACGCAATTTAGATACAGCTGACTTCACTTATGAACCTCTTCAAAAATGTTGAGTACATTTGAGAAAGAGAATCTGTAGTGTAAAGATTGAAAATTTGAAAGATGCATTGATACAGTGTTTGTTTAATTTTAAACTTAAGCGCTGATGATAATCAGAAAAAAAGTACAATAAAAACAGAATTTACCTTTCAAGTCTGAGTCTTTTTTATACTTCATTTGCAGTTTCACACTTTGATATAGACATTCAGGAAAAGTGCTCCTTTATCAAAGGATAATTTTTCCATAACTGGAGAATGGTATATCATTCAACTTTAATAAAGGAGTTTAAGCACAAGTCTTGGAGCCCCTGGAAAACCCTCACATATATGCTGGAGACCCCAGAATATTCTGCTATAACATACAGTGCAAACAATTGAACTATTTAGGCTATTCTTTATTTCTGTGTTTGAAACGGGTTACATTGACTTACTTTTGGAAAACTTACACTTATTATATACTTATCATACTTATCATCATTGCATATAACACACATAAAAAAAACCGCAGCTGCTGACTGTAAAAACAGGAACATCACTAAGTGAGACTGAGCAGGTACAGTTGGGTGGTTCTGTTCATCATGGGGAAGATTTTATTTTTCTTCAATTCAACTTTGGGGGCAGACACAAGCTGATTAGGATTATATATACAAACCATGAGTTATTATTCCAGACCAGTGTCTGGGCTCGTTGTCTTACTTTTAATCATTTTTTACATGGCCTTCAGCAGAGTTTAGATTATGTTCTAAACTTAAGAAAACAATGAACTCCACCCAGGCGACAGAGGGAGAGAGGGAGAGAGAGAGAGGGGGATCTGTCGGACCGTGACAGCTTAATATTTGAAAAAACATTGTACTGAATTTCTTCTTACTTTTGCCATTTTAATTCCACCATGATAAAATGAAACTTTCTCCACAACTCTATCTCTCAGTGTGCTTCAAGACCAGTTTACCATCGAAACTCTCTATGTTCTATATAATTTCCTTATTACGCAACAGTCTACCATTATGTACAGCGCTGTTGGCCGCTGTTTTTTTTTTTTTAAACGACCTCGACAAGAAAGCCTAATTTCTGCTTTTTAACACTGAAGAAATTTAAACTTTTACAAATTATACCAAATTGCAAAACCTCTTAGCTGTGACTCTAATAAAACCTCTGTAACTTTGCTCTGCTTCACTTCAGCAGCATCAGGTAATGTTCATATGTTGATTCATGGTTTTCTTCAGTTTTTGATCTGCTGCTGAATATTTTTTATCTGCTATAAAAAGCCAGTCCAGAAAAATCTCCTTCATGTTTTTCTGTGTTTTATCCTCAGTAACTTTAACACAAAGGCATCTGCTGTACGGTGTACATTTTAGGACATCCTCAGGTCTCAAGAAAAAAGCTGTCACGTGTCAGGTCTCAGACAAAAAAATGTCCGGTGTCAGGTGTCAGTTTCAGGTGTCAGGTCTCAGGTGTCAGAACACAAGCTATCAGAGAAAGAGAAGCTTCCTTCAGGTGGCGCTGTTGTCAGGTCCGAGCCAATGACTGTAGCAAACATGGACGTCGCGACAGCGACAGTAGTTCTCACTACCCTGCTTTATGTTCAAAGGGTCTCCTTTCTCATAAGTTTGATTGTAATTACTACCAAATTGCTGTGAAATTGTGGTGTGACATCATGATAACAGTATTGACTGGCAGCTGCAGTCACGCAGAAACTCTGTTTGGGAATGGCAGATAGAGCGGGGGTGCAGAGAAGAGCTCCAGCGTTTACGTTACAAAACCACGGCCAACCAGTGTTGCTAACTTAGCGACTTTGTCGCTATATTTAGCGAGTTTTCAGACCCCCTTAGCAACTTTTTTTCTAAAAAGCGACTAGCAACAAATCTGGCGACTTTTTCTGGTGCTATTAAAGACTTATTTATGACAACTTTTTGGCGTGAAAGCGCGTATTGCTCTTACTCTCAATAAGCAGCGGGTGAGGCAGTTGGCACCTCACCCGTGCCAAAGCGCTCACAGGTGGAGGATAATCCTCCCCAGCGGCTATCAGGGCAGGAGATGTTCACACCTATGCGTCCAAACTGCAAATGAATTGTGCATGAGTGAAGCCACTGCTCCCGCACTGACTGTAACGCAGCGAGTTCTTCTTTTACTGTTATGTTGTTTTGTGGTCCACAAGGTTTAAAACTACTTATAAACACACACACACAAAGTAATTCCACCAGAGTGCCTATTTCGGGTCACTTTTGCCGGTCCAAGCCCGGATAAAGGAGCAGGGTTGGAATTGTTACATTAAAAAAAACAATAATTGCTAAAAGACATTTAATTTGTAGTTCTAAATAAATTATAAATGTATTTAAGACGTTTTTTACTTTTTTTACTTTTTTTTTTTTGCCTGTCCCGTTTGGCTCTTTTGCTATCAGAATTATTGTCTAAAGGTGAAGAAAGATGCCCAACGGATTTACTTTACCAAATGGACCATCCCAGCCTTGCCGTAATGGTCCATTTGATTCACCTTTTATTCTTTATTTTATTTTCACTTGCTGAATACGGGACAGACATGACTGGGGAAAAGAAAGGGGAGAAAGAAAGAGGGAAAGAAAAACAGCGGGGAAGAGGGACGGGGATAAAGGGCAAAAAACAAAAACCAACAAAATAAGCAGACAAAAAATACATATATCAATCACCTGGATCACCTGTTGAGAAAGAAAAAAAGAGAAAACAAGCAGAAGAAAAAAAAAGAGCAACATAATAAACAACATCATGATGATCTATGGGAATATAACAGTAAATACTAA